AGTTACGTTACTGTTGTCAGGTCATTAAAGATGGCATATTTTGGTATTAATATTGATTCACTCATAGGGTTTTTGCATCGGAAATAAACACATTTATTCTAAAACCAGTTGTTGGCATGATACGGGTTATGTTCTTCTCATATATTTTATGATGGTATGACACTAAACCCTTAACGGGACGGATTGTGCTTGATTTTCATATGATGAAGACATAATCTTTCAATCAGTTTAATTGAGGTCTGGAGCTGGCATGTCAGTAACTGCTAGTAGTCCTTTGTTAATTTATGTTTAGTTAATTTATGTATCATTGTCATTTTGCTTAGTTTCTTTTGTTACCTATTCTGACATCGGACTCGGACTTCTTTTAAACTGAGTTTTACTGCACGTATTGCTGTGTGTTTGTTTAATCTACATTGGCTAGAGGTATAGGGGGAGGTTTGAGATCTCACTAAACATGTTCAACCCCGCCGCATTTTTGCGCCTGTCCCAAGTCAGGAGCTTCTGGCCTTTGTTAGTCTTGTATGTTTTTTAATTTTAGTTCATTTATATGTTTAGGAGTTTAGTATGACGTCCACTTTCACGGAACTAGTACACATTTTTGTTTAGGGGCCAGCTGAAGTCCGCCTCCGGTTGCGGGAGTTTCTCGCTGTGTTGAAGACCCACTGGTGGCCTTCGGCTGTGTTTTTTACTGTTTGGTCGGGTTGTTGTCTCTTTGACACATTCCCCATTTCCATTCTCCATTTTATGCTTTCACTGTGACTTCTAATCATAGACATAAAAAAGTTTCCCTGCTGGTATTTGAAGAACACTTTTAATTTTATTGAATCTTGGTTTTACTTTGCAAGACATTTTTTATAGTCTTTTTGGTCATGTGTCTCAATGATATAATTTTTCTATAAGTTGGCTAAAACTGAACCGGCAATTTCTTAAAGTTTGTTTTAAAAGTTCATTCGTTTTACAAAATGACTAAGTATTTCTAGTCATTTTATATAATGCCTGTCAAGGTTAGACTTTCTGTCTCATATTATTTTTGTCAAAACTCTTTAAATGATCATGATTGAAATGGAAAGAAAACAAAATACCCAATGTATACAACAACTTAACGGATATCCACGTGATCAAAATACCGCATTTCTAACATCAATTCAACCACCCTCAATCAAAATTCACCTTCTAAATTCAGTACTCGACTCTCTACACATCTTATCAAACATTCGTGTTCTTATCTAATTGAATGGTTCCTTGAAATCTGATTGCAAATATATTTGCTAAAACTCTTATACAACCTTCTTCTGTAATCGAAAATGTAATTTTTCTAGATAAACTTACTGGCAACATCTATTTACGTTACGGCAATTTAAAAGTTTATCGATATGTTGAAAATATTGCTATTGGCACAAAATGCGCCCCTTAAATAGAAGACGTTATGAATCAAAGGTTATGGCCAAATTCAGTCAAGATCCGTCTAAAATCGATTTAATTGAATTAAACAACTCAATCTAACCGTTACCTTGATGATATTTTTGCGTTAAATAAACAAGAAATCTCCAAATATACCCCCGAAATTTACACAAGGAAACTTATGATAAATCTAATATAAACAGCAATAAATGTCCTTCCTGGATTTAGATATTTAAGCTTCACACGGGAATCTTTATACAAAAATGTAGAATAAGATGTTTTTTTCGTTCCCTATTGCTTAGTTTCTATTTTGGACGTTGACGTTCATTTGGCCTCATCTAACGGTATGAAATATAAAGATAAGAAGATGCGGTATGAATGCCAATGAGACAACTTTCAACACGAGAACAAATGACGTAGATGGTGGCAACTATAAGTCATGGAAGCAACTACAGGTCATCGTTCGGCCTTTAACAACGAGAGAAAAAAAAATCATACAGTATAATAAGATATAAAAGGCTCCGAAATGACAAAATGTAAACAATTCAAACGATATAACCAACTTTGTTTATATTTCCCCAACTCGTTTGCTCTGCTCGTACATGTACTGATTGATGTTTAAGTCTGAGAAACATGATCAAGTTATTAGGTGTAATTGGCTTTAAACTAGCTTTTAGTAACTGTGGGTACACGTTAGTTGGTACGTTGTATCTTTAGTCTTTTTGTTTGTCGTTTTTTTGTGTGTTTTGTGTCGATATGATAAGTTACGTCCTTTTCACCTGATTTTTATAGTTTGTTCTAATGTTTTGCTGTTACACCCTTGTCCCAGGTTAAGAGAGGATTGAACGCTTGCACCCTAAAGAGACAGGCAGATACATAACGTGGCGGGGTTCAGCATGTTTGCGGGCGACAAACATTCCCTTAACTGTTGAATCTGAAGTTAACAGTAAATTTTATAGATGGTTAATGAACGTGATATTGCATTTCTACATTTTCAATTGTTAATAAGGTTTACAGTTTATATAAAATGGTGGTTTATACACCTAAAATATTGAATTCCTTGTTGAAGTTTGTATCAATGATAATTGTGGCAGTAGTCATTTTTGATTATGCACAGTAATAATCTAATATTAAAAATCTTGTAGAAATATCAACAATCAATAACAGAAAGGTAAAGGTACAGTAAATGTCACAGATTTTTGCATTCAACTTTGGCTCGCTGAACTATAACTGAAAGTCGAAAAAATAGGGCATGTATCTCTTTGATATTTCTGAAATATTACTAAATGATTTTTTTCAAAATGGGTGAACATTTGTGTAAATAGTACGTTGACAGAAAATGGCGAAACACGTTCTTACATTTGTCTTAAAGTCATCAAATCTTATGTGAAAGTGGAGGGACCGGATCGTAACCCTTGGCTAGCGCATATGCATTTACAAGGAACGTCAACTATGTTCGATGTGTTTAATATATAGTTGGTTGGTTCCTAGTCATAACTTCCATAGATTTTGTTTCTTATACACATTAGGGCGAAAAGAGACGGGAGATATAAAAAAAAAAGGCGAAAGATACCAAAGGTACATTCAAACTCACAAAGCCATTGCTAAAACAGAAAAAGACCAACAGACAAACAACAGTACACATAACACAACATAGAAACCCAAAGTTTGAGCAACACGAAACCCACCAAAAACTGGGGGTGATCGCAGGTGCTCCGGAAGGGTAAGCAGATCCTGCTCCACATGTGGCATCCTTCGTGTTGCTCATGTTAGTACAAACCCGGTAATAAGTCTAATTCGGTAGGTCACATTCGGGGAAAAGGGGACGGGACCAAAAAGACAATCAAAACTCATAAACCAAAAACAGTCTAATTAAAATATAGTACTGATATCGTATACTCATATGGAGTATAACGAAATCAGAGTTCTATATTTTGATTAGACTGAAACCAAAAAGAGACCGATAACGCTATGGCAAAATACGGACGAAAAGACAAACAGTCTACAAAACTCTACAAAGAAACCCGAGAAACACAAACATCATACTCCACATGTAGCACCCATCGCATTGATCAGGAGTATATATATATAGCTTATTAATTTGATTTTTTTTAAATGTATATAATACAAAACTCACCGAGACTAGAAGGTATAACAAAGTTGAGTACATATTATTGTGTAACCAAGGTTGACAACTATTTGATAAAGAAATAGTATCATTGACGGTACAAACAATCAAACATATTATTACTGGCTTTGGAAAAGATCCAATTAAATGCTTTCGGTTTACTAGCTACACTATCTCCTTTAAACATCTCCTACAACGCAAGCAACGTAGTACGTCAAACGACTTTGAAAAAAAATGTCAAAAGAAACACAGATAGTTAAAAATAATTAAAAGCATAGAAACATGAAAAACTGAGCTAATGTGATTGTGGTTGTCTTTCTTTGGTAAGTCAGCTATGAGCAGTTAAAAAGGGAGCATTTCTGATTTTCAGTATAGGATCGTTTCGAGAAAACATGAGGCGGCCAAACTGTATAAATAAAAATGTGAAGATTTATACGTTTAAAACGAAATCTTCTTAGTATTACCAAAATGAATGAAATATACAACAAGAGCGTTTTTTTTGTCCCACGCGTAACGTGTTGCGGGGGACATGGAAATACCGTTCGTCCGTCCGTCTGTCCGTTCGTGCGTCCGTCCGGTCTTGTTAGCTCTCTCACAGGTACAATTCTTGCCAGATTTTTATAAACTTACACTAAAGGTTAATATCAGCAATATCTCGGACAAGTTCTATAATGGTGGCCGATCGACTTTTTTTAAAAGAGTTATGCCCCTTGGAAATATAAAACTTATGGAAAATTGCCTCGTTAGCGCTCTCACGGGTACAATTCTTGCCAGCTTTTTATAAAACTTATACTATAGGTTAATATCAGCAATATCTCGGACAAGTTCTATAATGGTGGCCGATCGACTTTTTTTAAAAAAGTTATGCCCCTTGGAAATATCAAACTTATGGAAAATTGCCTCGTTAGCGCTCTCACGGGTACAATTATTGCCAGCTTTTTATAAAACTTATACTATAGGTTAATATCAGCAATATCTCGGACAAGTTTTATAATGGTGGTCGATCGACTTTTTTTTTAAAAAGTTATGCCCCTTGGAAATATTAAATTTATGGAAAATGGCCTCGTTAGAGCTCTCACGGGTACAATTCTTGTCAGATTTTTATAAAACTCATACTATAGGTTAATATCAGCAATATATCGGACAAGTTTTATAACGGAGGCCGATCGACTTTTTTAAAAGAGTTATGCCCCTTGGAAATATTAAATTTACGGAAAATGGCCTCATTAGCGCTACAAAAAAAAAAATGTTTTATCTAGTTATCGCCCTTGTACCTTGGGTAGATAAAATATGTGCAACGCGGGGGACATAGGAACTCTGTTCTTTTATTTTATATAAAGTAATTAAATAAGTTTGACCGACTTCATGACAGTGCATTTTATTATCCAAGCAACTTTTATCGTGTAATACTGACTATGCAATATAGTAGCAATGGTTTAAGACTCGATATCCGCTAGGTCTTCAACATTAGTTAATCATACACACGACATTAGTTTTATTATTACATATATATACTGACTGTCAAATTTAAACCAAATCAGTATAACAATCAAATTCCAAATATCCATTATTTGAACTAAATCATGAAAAAGAGGACAAATTTAAAAAAAAACATAAAAGGTTTCCATACAACATTTTTGGTCCCAGTCGACGACATTGGTTGAATTTCCACTACAGAATGCAACAATCAATTTTTGAATTTATACTATTTGCAATAGCTGAACAGGCTCTTAGCCAACGGAACGCTCTTTTCCAATTAATTATTCAAAAAGTTAAGTTTCAAAATAAACTTTCCTTTATATCCAACACTCGTTCGTGTAGCGGTAATCATGTTCACATAAGTTATTTCTTTACAAATATTAACAATGATTGCTATATTCTGTTACGTCTGCGGGTCTTTGAATACCAGTAGTATTGTACGTATTTGTGTCGTTATGGTTGTAAGTATACGAGTTTAAAGCACCTGTTCCTCTTACAACTCCTTTAGCATGGTCATATGTACCAACGTCGGCATTATTGTATGTCCCACAATTTGTTTTGATAGACGCACGAAATTTTAAATGATTATACTCCGTCTTGATGGATTCCTCGTCGGTGATACTGATTTCATCATAGTGACTCTCTCCATTTCCGCTATCTATAGTATCAGAACTATTAACTTCTGTCCCTGTTTGTATTCTGTACTCCACTTCTGCTGACTCTTTGCTGTGCAGTCTACAAAAGTAAAATGATCCAGTCAGCTAAAATATTACTCGAAAAAATTGACTCATTAAATATATCAGTAAAATCAGTTACTTCAAGGGACATATAGAAGATGTATATATTCAACACATACAAAACATTAAATACTTTTTCAATCCTTTTCTAACTTATAATCTATAAGGGTGAAGGTTGGCGCCTGTTAAAACGTTTAAACCCACTGCAAGTTTATGCACCTGCCCCAAGTCAGGATCCTGTTGTTCAGTGGTTGCCGTTTGTTGGTGTGGTTCATAGGTGTTTCTCGTTTCATATAGATTAGACCGTTGGTTTTTCTGTTTGAATTGTTTTACACTAGTCATTTTGGGCCCTTTATAGCTTGCTGTTCGGTGTATGCCAAGGCTCCGTGTTGAAGGCCGTACTTTGACCTATAATTGTTAACTTTTTATACATTGTGACTTGGATGGAGAGTTGTCTAATTGGCACTCATACCACATCTTCTTATTTATATGAACGAAATATTTAATATCAATATCATTGTTAAAATACAGCGAAAATAAAGAAATTAGTATATCAATATGAAAATGACTTTGTGGTATGATTGCCAATGAGACAACTATCCTACTTTTTATTTTCAAAGCAACAAAATTTCAATCTGAAATATATGAAACATCAGTATTTTACAAATATTACACTAACATGAGATTTATAATAAACCGTTCTAAAACGATACTGAAATTTATAACAAACCTTTTCGGAAATTGTCAAGTAATAAATTTTGAAATTATAAACGAACTAAGTTTTTCAACTCCTTCAGGCAAAGTTGACCTTAGATGGATTCGTTTTTAGTCATATAGCTCCCCAACTGTCGATTCTTTTACATTCTTGGCTTTCAAATATTCGGCTTTGGGCGTTCGTGATGAAGGTAAATACAGAAAAGCAGATGCATGCAATTTATAACGTGTTGTTTTCATTTATACATGTGTGAGCTGAAACTTAAATGATGAAACATACGCGATAATGCATTATTATTTTACAAATATTCTGCTCAAATTGTGTTTACTGCTAATATACTCCGTACTTTTGGCGTTTTAACTTGTTTTGATTCGAGCGTCACTGGTGAGTCTTTCATAGACGAAACGCGCGTCTTGCGTACAAAATTATAAGCCTGGATGATACCTTCGGCGAGTTTTTTTATATACGCATGTCTTTGTTATTTTTTTTTTATCTCAATATCGTTGTATTATCATACGAATATCCTTATTTCATGACGATTCATTAGTGTTGTAAATTTATTATTGGTCTGTACACATGTCTTTGTGATTGAATTTCTAACTGTCCGTTGTTTTGTATTTTTTTACAGATTATTCTGTGATGTGTAGTGCTGACATTAACAAATAACAATGTGATTGTTTTTGATTTTGATTGTATTTTATAAAATTCATAAATATATTGATTTTACTTGTGATACAAAAACTGGAATGCCCTTTTTGTTTTCGTGTGGTATATCCCGCAATGGTGGTAAGTCGTGCACTTAAGGCCATTTTTTTATTTTATTTTTCTGTAGACTTAGCTTTGATTTTTTATTACTGTGTATTGTCAAGCTTGGTTACTCATTATTGTTTCTCATTCACAGAATGTACGATGTTGTTCCATACTGCAGCAGCTGACCCGGTTTGTTTACATTCAAATTCTAATGGCTTCAAAACCACGTGACACATTGAATCGTTATATCCAATCAAATTGCTCTACTGTCAATTAGGTGATTTTTTAGTACAAGGCAATTATATTATTTGTTTGTATGATATTGCTTTGAAATAGTTTGCAATAAATTGGGGGTTTTATTCAATAGGAAACCTCATTATTAGCCACGAAATTTGATATCAATGGAATTTTATATGAATATTTACTTATGGTCAGAATATCGATCTCTTTATATTGAACCAATTTTTTTTTTTAAAGAAAAATATATGTATATTGTTTTTTATTAACCTACTCTAAATTCCTGAACAAAAATATGGCATGATTATCGTTTGTTTCCCAAACTTTTTCTTTCATTTTGGATGGGTTTTTTTCCGCGGGAAAATCGATTAAGACGTAAGGTTCTTGCCATTTTGAAATTCTTAAAAATACGATTTGCCTGGCCTGTTTGGTCTGCCATTAAGATTGATGACGCTTAATGGAATGTAAACAAAGCAATGGAGGCTGGAAGAGGGGATTTCTGAAGTTCTGGAATGTTTTTAGGCATTCGGAAGTCAGGTTTGAAACGGCCATTAGAAAATTGGCATTTTTGTACAATTCTTTAGAATAACAATGAAAACATATCTTTAGAAATGTTTGTTTATTTAGAAGGGTAGAAAAAATGTATTCTGCTCTAATTTTGTACGCTGGTATTAGCGTAGTGACGTCAATGCGGAGTTTTCCCGTGTGATAAGTACAATAACAAAATCCGAACGAACCAACATTATGACCGATTTTAGACTACGGTAGGATAGATCTGTCTCGTTACCGTATACCCCATGTACCTTCTTTTATTCATCTTCTATTCTTGATCATTGTGTTTACACTGGAAACATTTCACCTTTAGACTGACGGAACCTAGTCATGTTGCAAAACAGCATCTATACTATTAAATGAGAAGACCTCATTTTGTGTGTCGCTTCTCTTCCTTCCACAATAATTTAATTTTGGATGTAACGCGTCTTCTGATTGGCTGACGTTGTTTTGTTTATCAGCTTATAGACATAATTTTGTCATGTGACCGTGACGTCATCAACGTTTTTTCATGGTTTACTCAGGTTTAAAATGGAATTTTTAGAAATGACTGTAATATTTTTTCTGTCTATTCGAAATAACATAAAAAATGCTACGCGGGTTATTCAGTGTGCACCACATTTTTTATGTTATTTCTTCATAGACAGAAAAAATATTACAGTCATTCCTTAAATAAATTAATCATCATGCCTCTGTGTCCTAAAGGTACCATGCATAGTCGCATTTGTCATCCTCGCTTATGATTATTCGGTTTATTTTGAAAGAAAAACGAAAATAAAGGCGTCCGGTTATTGTTTCCGTCATCGGACGGACTTTTAAGTCATAGACAAGACTTCCGTTTAAGGACTATTTTAAAATTACACATAATTTCCATAAGTACTTGGGGATTGGACAATTATTTTCGCGTTTTTCTGTATACTATGATCATACATATACTATGAATTAGTTGTATTTGCTATTTACTATCAATTCCAAGGTTACTATCCACGACGGTCACTGATATATTATATAGAGATAAAATTGAGAATGGAATGAGAGTCTCTATATAAATAAACTCATCATAGATACCAGGATTGAAATTTGGTATATTTGCGCCAGGCGCGCGTTTCGTCTACAAAAGACTCATCAGCGACGCTCGAATCAAATAATTTATCAGTGACCGCGGTGGATAGTAAACTTGGAATTGATAGTAAATAGCAAATACACTTTATTTATAGTATGTTCATAGTATACAAACAGAAAACAAAAAATAACGGACTTCGGAAAAAAGTTGGAGGGCTAAAAAAAATTGTCCTATCCCCAAGTACATATGACTTTTGATACCTTTCCTGAAATTCTCCAGTCATAAAATCTTTTACAAAAATTCATCCTACAACAGTTTACATACTTTCAATTACGCTCTAAAAGCCCGCGATTTCGCGGGTGTGTTCTAGTAATATTAATGCTCAAGTAAATCCCTTACGAAGACTTGAGAATTATCTAAAAATGTGTTTTACCCAATACCTGGGTAATAAAATGTTTAATGAAGAGATTTACCTCCGTCTTACAAAGACTACACTGACAATAACAATCACAACACACAGCACAACACCAGCTAGAATGTAGGGTAGTTCTGTAAATACAAAACATCAACATATTATTTCCATCATAAAGCAAATTAAACGCAATCTTTTTTTGTTATTTGCCCAGCGTTTGGTTAAAATTTTAAAAACGCTCTTGATGAACAATATTTCTTTCTACGGAAAGGCAAAATGGATATAGGCAAGTTTATCTTCAGCGGTTTTGGTTATTCTGTGTAGGCTATTTTAGTTTTATGCTCTCAAACTTTGTATATACTTTTTTGCCCTTTTAATCGTTTAAAATCGTCCTGAACATGCGTGACGTCCATTTTCACTGAACTAGTACACATTTTTGTTTAAGGGCCAGCTGAAGTCACCTGCGTGTGCGGGATTTTCTCGCTGTGTTGAAGACCCATTGGTGGCCTTAGGCTGTTTTCTGCTCTTTGGTCGGGTTGTTGTCTCTTTGACACATTCCCCATTTCCATTCTCAATTTTATGAAATATTTGTCACTGACGTTGAGCATCCAACAATCAATCAATCAATCTAATCTTTTTTCTGGAGTTTATTTTTTAAAAGTAAGCAAAAGAGAGGCGAAAAACACAAAAGGGAAATTTAATCTCATAAGTCGAAAATAAACTGACAACGCCATGACGAAAATAGAAAAAGACCAAAAGACAAACAACAGTATACAAAACACAACATAAAAAAACAAACTAAAGACTGAGCAACACGAACTCACCAAAAACCGAGGGTGAACTCAGGTCACGCTTCGGAAGGATAATCAGATCCTGCTCCACATGTGGCACCCGTCGTGTTGCTCATGTAAGTAAAAAAATCGACATTTTGTTGTTTTACTACTGTTCGGCGGTACCGTGGACTATTATTCTACGTGGGTAACCGCCGGCTAGTCTTTAGTCAGTGATACCGAAATGATTTGAATTGTTTTTTGCTAAAACAAAATACTAGATTTCCAGTTCATGATTACTTAGGATATCTGTTGTAAATTCCCCTGACAAAGTTGATCTTGGACGATTTTGACTTTTTGTTTTATGTTCTCAGACGGTGTATATAATTCAAAAGAATACTCCCAGAAGACAAGAAAGGAGAATGTGGTTCATTACAAGGAAGGCATGAAAAACTAGATACATTAGGTATGGGAGTGTCAAATTCAAAACGACCAGAACATACATAACCGCCTATAAGTGCGAACCAACAATGTTAAGTTTGAATATTTTACATAATTTAATAACCATACACATGAAAATCAGTTATTATATCTTCATCTGGTGTCCACTACATTTAAGATATCATGAAGCTATCTTAATTACCATTAAACCTGGAAGGATTGCAACCAATAGCATGCTAAAATTCCGTTGGTAGACAATTTCATACACATGTTTGTAACTTACATTTTTATATATTGAATTAATGACGATGTCATGTAAAACTTCATGCCTTTATGGGGCTCATGATTGAAAATTCAAGTTCCCCCTTCTATTCTAAAAATCTGCAGTCATATGTCAATCCATCATTTCAATCATGGCAGTACCAAAATAATTTAGGATATAAAATATTCCATGGAATTTAATTCATAAACAGTTATTTTTGTTCACATATTGTTGTCAATATAATGGAATTTATGCGACTGTCATACAAGTGAGAGGTTTAGCTATAAAACCATGTTTAATCCACCATTTTCTACATAAAGAAATGTCTGTACCAAGTTATTTTACTTTTTATTACTGTCTCATGGAGAAAAAAAAACAAAATCAAACTATACGAAGTGACATACTTTGTAACACTGATGATCTGTCATCTATGGGCTGGTTTACAATATCTTCCGTAACATTTCCTGAAACAATCAATCAAAAATCAGAACATTTCATTAGACTTAGACTTTGAGAAATGAATAAAAACAACATTGGTAGACAAAATCAGGACTACACTTAATTTCGTTGTTCTAGTTACAATACAGAGACATTTAAACGCTTGCATTTATCCTCCAATATAATTTACAGTAAGTAAAAATAATTGACCAATAATTATTCTTTTATATATGTTTTGAAAACTAGTTTGTAATAATTGAATAAATGAAATGAAAGGTATGGCTAAATACTGCTTAGGGGACGACCATTTGATATTCTGGGGGGAGGGGCTCAGGAGGATTTTGAAAATAAATAACTCAGACTTGATAATCACAAAAATAAATGGTTTGTTCTGTGGTAGTTCGAAAATAAATAACCTGACTTACAATTGAAAATGAATAACTCGGCAGGTCTTTAAGCCATTTTATAAATGCTATTCGAAAGTATGAGGTGGCACCAGATTCTTCATAAAATTCATCTTTTTTTCAAAAAAAAATTCGGGTAACACTTCCCAAATCTTTTAATAATAAAGGTATAAATATTATTTGAATATACTTGAAATGTCTGAAAATGGGTTTCATTTAACTTGAGGTATATTGGCTCAGGAACGCTTACCTCACTTTTATTACAGGGCTGTAACTTCATTGAGGCAAATGCCTTTATGTAGGATTTTATAACCAAAAGCTTGTCTTCATATCAAATTGTTTTCACAGCGAGTGTTTGCAAGAAGCAAGTTCTGTTCTCCCTTGGACGTAGCACCTGTTTTTTCGGGATCAATGTTTCGTTAAATTTGTCTTTTGTTTATTGATTGCCCTTCTGTATTCACTTAGTGTTGCTTTCCTTTTGTGATTTAGTAATTTTGTTTTCAACTTGATCATGAGTTTTATTTTATTTAAGACTTTTTAGCTAATTTTACAACTTAACTACTTTAAATTGTATCCCAGTTAAGAGCTACATCAAGTTGTAATTGAAATGTGTTATTAAAAATTACTTGACATAGTTATATCACTGATAATCAGCCCCCTCTTAACTTAATTTGAATAACCCTATATAATTTACAGGTATAAAAGATTTAAATTCTGCATGCCGAAACAACAAAAAAAAAAAAAAAAAAAAAAAAAAACCAGCAGCCACATACTTAACTATGTGAATTACATTTTTACTTTATTCTTCATATTGGTCTTTTGATGTTGTCCATAAAAACTTAAGTCTTACGCTGAATCTATACATTTTGCTTTGAGACCAAAATATTGTCAAAAAATTATTAAAACAAAACTTGCGTTTTCAGAATAAGAAAGGGTCTGGGAATGCCCAGAAAGCACGATTTTGCATCATTTGTTCTATAGTTTCTTTGGGCCTTCAGCGGCTTCAAAACCCTTCAAATTTTTTTTTGCCTCGCTCCGCTCGGCGTAAATATATTTGGCAATACTTTTAAAAGAGGCTAGTCACAGCCCAACTCTAATACCGTGTATGTATGCAATACATGTAGATGCAGTTTGGAATTCAGAAGATTCATTTCCGCAGAGGATAATGATTAATTCTGATTAAATGGTACATTAATGACTTGACTGTACATGTATTATTTATAATAAAAAATGAATTTAAAAATTGTATGTTTTCAAATATTATTAATATAGTTATGAAAATAAATAATCAGTCCCTTGTTTTAATGAAAATGAAAAATCTTGCTTCAACAGTGCAGAAAATAAATAATCTATCCTCTTAGTTTACAAAAATAAATAACCGACCCAAAACAAATCCTCCTGCCCCCCCCCCCCCTCCCCAGAATATCAAATGGTCGTCCCCTTATCAAACCTATTGCACCAACGCTTGTTTGCGACTTCTTTCTGTATTTATCAGAGAAAAGGAAACCAATTCTTTAACTTTGGACGTACCTTTGCAGTCATATGTTATCTCAGCATATGGTTTGAAAGATGAAGTACAATTACCAGCTGGAAGTACTCCGTCAGTGTTATGAAATGTACAATTATTTCTACCCTGGCATCTTTCCTTTATAGCTATACTAACATTCGCACTACCAATGCATCGTTCCTTGTTTATTGATGGATCGGGACACTCATTTGTGTAAAATCGACCATAATATACAACAATAATGTCAATGGATTGGTTTCCAACACATGGTATAACTTCACTTTTATCAAAGCAAACACGAATTGTGTCCAAACCTGTAATAATTAAGTTGAAAAAAATGTAAGTTAAAAAGAAAAGTGACCATTAAAAATTCGAACATTGAATTGCGGGAAAATTAATGAACTTGTGATTAACTGTCTCCTCCTTAATCAAACATCTAATGATAATTAAATGGTAAAATTCGAACAAAAATTGATCTTTATATTAGTTGTTCCTGTAATGTAAAATATAGTAATACAGGCAAAGGTAAACTTAATAAAATTTTGCCTTTAAACAGATTTGAATCTCGATAAAGATTAAACGTTAACCATGAAAAGACATTCAAAAGACAACTTTTAAGTTCACAACAATCTGTAAACAAACAGGACCAGTTGTTAAATCTAGGGATAGTTTCAAATATGTCTTACTAAATGAACGGGACATTATAACTTAAGTGTACAAAACGTCTATGTATCATCTAACTTTTATATGTAAAATATACTTGCGACACTCATGGTTTAGCCCTGAACAACATTCTGGTATTGTAAATGTACGAAGAATTGTTTAAAATCTATCAAATATATCATTTAGCTTAAGCAATTTCTATTATCTATATTTATATATCTAATATTTGATATTCAGTTAGTAACACAATTCATGGTTTACGCTTCAACTATGTTCCTTATTTTACTGTCCAGAAAACAGTGCCTGCAGTCAATAATAAGACTGATTTTGTTCAGTTAACAATGTATTCCTAGTTGCCAGGTTTTAGGTTTAGTGGGCTGTATAACTCTCTCTGTAATTGGATCAACATGAACTGCAATGGTTTTAGTTAATATAGGACAACCCAGAAGGAAATGTGTAGTATCTTCATCGAATGAACGGCATATTAGTAACTGAAATAATGATGACGGTGACCGATTGAAGTTAGCTCTATCGGAATTTAGCATAAAGGTTCCTGATAAGATATTGATTTTAGTAATGTATTTGCAGCTTTTGTTAAATCACGTATATTTCAAACTGGGTGATGTCTCCCCAATGTAAAGTTGTTTGATTTCTATGTTCGTTTATTTCAAAGTTGGTTTCGATCTACTGCATCCACTAGGTGTTTTACCAGTGAGTTTTTAAGTTTCTTTGTTATTACCATAAATGTCCAGGATATTTTTGTAGGTATATTATCTTGTAGATTATATATTTAAGGTAACCAGGATCTAGCCAAAACCTCTCTAAATGTTGAGAAGAAATTGTTTAAATTGTCGTAAGTAACAGACATTTGTCTGATATTAATACTATCTCCTCTGAATTTTCAAAGACTACAAATTGTGGAGATAGCTGCATTCTATGAAATTGAACTCCAATTGGTAGTCCGCCTATCATGAGATATATCAGGTAAAGCTTTGCGATGACTTAGAGTTTTCCTATGATATGTTTCTAGTTGGTTTTATTTCCTGGTAATGACCACGTCCATACAGTAGTCTTTGCTGATCATATGGGTGTTAACGATTTTGTAAAATGTTACTGGATCCAATCTATTCGTCCCATGTATCCAGGTTCCCATCAATGCACAGTTCTTCTTGTGTGTCTTATTCTGTTTGCTACATTTATCTCGTTCTTTCCCCAGCTTTATGTCTTCCCAAATAAGTTGCTTCATTAGATACTGATACTGTTGTATAAGTGAGGGTCCAATCATAATGTATAGTATGCTAATGTTGTTTGAATATCGTTGAGAGACAATATGATCTGTTGCTGTCAGGTTTGAGTATAAATCTTTTATAACAAGCCATTAAAAAGGAGGAAGTGTGAAGTACATCAACTTGTCAATGAACAGCAAGAAATTCCATATAAAATTCTCTGCTTTTCTAGTTTAATCATATTTGGTTCTGTTATAATATATCTAGAATTCAGAGGGTTAAGTCGTTCAGTATACTCCAAAATGAAGTTCAGTAACATTGTCTAAGCTGAATTTTGGTAACCTAAAGTTTTCAAAGACTTTTTCAAGAACTTGTGTAACCGTTACTGTCCCACGGTATGTGTTAACAGATGTAGGGACTTTTGTTTTTGGTAACGAATTATGCTCTAATGAGATCATCATGATCCCACTGTGAAGTTTATATTGGGGAACAAACCATGATATATAGAGATCCTCAGTGGTCTCACTGTGTGGTATATATTTTGGAAGAACAAACAATGATCTATAAAGATCTTCTATGATCCCATTGTGAAGTATACATTTGGGAACACACCATGATACATAGAGATCTTATATGATCCCACTGAAGGATAACGTGATTGCTTTCCACCTTTGTCAAGTATGTCGATCTGTAATCGGAAAGCAAGGTTGTTTTAGTTATCACAAGTAATAGGGACTGCAATATGATCCCATATACCATGGTTCATTCACATCTACGTCACATTTATTGAACTGTAAAATTACACCGTAGGGAGTAATTGATTCCCATCTATGTCAAGTAGATGGGATTTTACTATGATATCAAGGGAGTCATTTCCGTGTTTCATGTAAAAGGTACATTAGAAGTATACCATATAACATGATTGATTATTTCCTATGTCTCGAAAGTAGATTGGACTGAACTAGAATGTAGAATGATACCGTATGACATGCTTGCGTTCCACCTTTGTCAAGTATGTCTGACTGTTCATGGATAGCATGCTTGCTTTCCACCTATGTCAAGTATGTCTGACTGTTCATGGATAGCATGCTTACTTTTTTTCTTTGTCAAGTATGTCTGACTATTCATGGGTAGCATGCTTGCTTTCCATCTTTGTCAAGTATGTCTGAATGTTCTTGGATAGCATGCTTACTTTCCACCTATGTCAAGTATGTCTGACTGTTCATCGATAGCATGCTTACTTTCTACCTATGTCAAGTATGTCTGACTGTTCATGGGTAGCATGCTTACTTTCCACCTATGTCAAGTATGTCTGACTGTTCATGAATAGCATGCTTAATTTCTACCTATGTCAAGTATGTCTGACTGTTCATGGTTAGCATGCAGCTGCATGCTTGCTTTCCACCTTTGTCAAGTATGTCTGACTGTTCATGGATAGCATGCTTGCTTTCCAACTATGTCAAGTATGTCTGACTGTTCATGGATAGCATGCTTTCTTTCTACCTTTGTCAAGTATGTCTGACTGTTCATGGGTAGCATGCTTGCTTTCCATCTTTGTCAAGTATGTCTGACTGTTCATGGGTAGCATGCTTGCTTTCTACCTATGTCAAATATGTCTGACTATTCATGGGTAGCATGCTTGCTTTCCACCTATGTCAAGTATGTCTGATTGTTCATGGGTAGCATGCTTTCTTTCTACCTATGTCAAGTATGTCTGACTGTTCATGGATAGCATGCTTGCTTTCCACCTATGTCAAGTATGTCTGATTGTTCTTGGATAGCATGCTTGCTTTCCACCTTTGTCAAGTACAAATGTATGTTTGACTGTTATAGTATATCACAGGGGGCCGGCGGGAAAATGTTTTCAATGACCAGAAAAATTTAATGACCCCCACATTCAACTGCTGCAGAACATGTGTGACCCCCCTCCTGAAAGTGTTAAGAAACGTTGACCCCCTCCTTCCTTTCCTTATTATGCTTTATTTGTCATAAGGGAATGAAAACGCTGCAAAATATTATGGGACAAATACTTTTCTCAAGTTTATTAGTTGTTGGATATCAAGTTTGTAAAATTTCTTATATGTAGGACAAGATTTTTTTTCAATGAATATCAAAAAAGAAAAAAATTATAAATATTATTATTGAAGAAAACTAAATAAATTATCAGTCCCAATTTTATCTGTTACAGCAATAATAAGAAAAAAATAGGGTAACAATCCATTTCATATACATTTATATGAGTATATAAAAATTAAGTGAAATATGTCAGGTGAGTAAAACAATAAAGATTTTTCTCTTCAGAGGAGAGAATCCATTTTTTATAGTTGGGCCTAATATACTGATAATGTTTAATATCAAATATTAGAGTAATGTTATTATATGGGCACCTTTTACTTTAATTTGGTCTTTCAAGTTGTTAAAAGTAAATGAAATATATAAGATGAGTAAAATAAAACAGATCTGGTTCAAAAATGTTACCTCAGATGAGAAATTCCCATTTTTATACTTGGTTCTCTCATATCGATAAATGATTCAAGCCATTATATTAGAGTTACGGAAGGACAGAACTGAAATTATATTGGCAACTTTTACTGTAATTAGGTCTTTTAAGCTGAGAAAAGTAAATAAAATAAATAAGGAGAGCAAAAAAAAATAAGATTTTTTCAAAAGTAGTTATCTCAGACGAGGAATTACAATTTTCATTGCTGGTTCTCCTATACTGATAATTCAAACCTAATACTGGAGTAATGTAAGGGCATAGCTGAAATTATATGGGTTACTATTATTACAATTTAGCTTTTTATGATGCAAAAGGTATATGAATTTTATAAGATGAGTAAAATGACAAAGGTCTTGTTCAAAGAAGCTACCTCAGAGGATAAATTCAGTTTTTATAGTTGGTTCTCGCTCTCTATTGTCTTCTCTTTAATTTTTTTCCTTATTATTATTATGACTCCTCCTTCTTCTTATAAAAAAAAACTTCTGACCTCCCCCTTTTGACATGTTCTAATTTTTTTCTGACCAGTCTACTTTTTTGCCGCCCCCTGGAGATAAATAATGACCGGTCCATAAGTTGCCAATTTAGTACTGAATATTTATCTTTGTAGTAAACGAATTCTGACAATTAGTTTCATCATGTTCATGCGAAATAAAGGCATAAACTTTTTAAAAGTTGTTTATTATGTCTACTGTTAGACATTTCTTAACAATGTTATAAAGGTAACGGAGTGGATATAAATGACCGTGAAAGCAACTAAACGGGTGTTAAGTTCATGATTTCACACAACAATTTAAATATGAATGGAGTTCATATTGATCAGAGTCATTCTTTTGTATTTGAGTGCATGGTACTGCTAAGGAAAATAGAATGGCTGTTGTTGTCATAAACTGTACCTATCTTTTTAGGTTGGATTGTTAGATGTTGACAATGGTGTCATAAACATGCTAAAAAGCAACTTTTTTATGTAATGACAAAACATTGTGGCCAAAATTTAAGACTTCGTATAACAACAAGCAAACTATGGGATATGAATTCAGCTACACCATATTAAATTCATCTTTATAATAATTCATTTCAGACAAAAGAAACTGATATAGCGTTTATCATTGATCCTAGTATGATTGTTCATCAGGATAAATTTTTAGGAAAAATCTAGATATTAAACAAACTGCCTATGATATCTTTGATTTTAAAAGTACTAGCTCACTTAATTCTTCAAATGTGATGTGTTTCATTTTGTCAATGATGATGATGATGATGATGATGATGATGATGATGATGATGACTAAATGTTTTGAAGAAGTGAAGAAAGAGGGGGAGGGATTTTTTTCAAAAGGACAGTCAACGAGGAAAAGTGCGTAAACAAAAAAGTGCACAAAACAGTACAAATAGAGAAAGACGACCCCCCCCCCCCCCCGCATTAATAATTAAGCAGATAATCTCAATCTTCAGGGATGGAAAACAGTTACAGCAAATGACACATTATCATTTGATCATACACGTTTAACTATTCTATAAATTGTATACTACACACAGTGTGAAATTAAGAAACTTACCTTTCACAACTGGAATAAAATGTATGACGAAACCAATAAAAAATAACAGCTTCATCCTTTCACAAATTCAATGAATAGGCTTATTTAAACATGACATGACACAACACGAAAACAAAATTTCCAAATGATAAGTGCTCGAGTTTAATGTTTTAAGAAAATGTACTTTCAACCAATCAAACATCTTTTTTCAATTCTTATTGTATGAAATACTTGGAAAAGGTTTGAAACACTAGAGTAAAATAATTAAAAGCAATGGGCGAACACAAAGCGTTTAGTTTATAAAATGAATATAAATATAAAGATGTTTTATTTTGGTATCCGGTGATTAATACAAAGCTTCCGAGATCATATAACATACGGATCCTCGTGCGTACGTCGGTGTGAAGCACTTAAAGAGGACTTAGATGAGTTCTAACAAAGAATTATATGAGTTTGATTGTTTATTTCCAAATTTGTCAATAATATATATATATATATATTTTTAAAATAATTTGCGAATTGACTTGAAATCATGTGATATATGGAGTAATCAAGTAGATGGTATCCTGGAAAAACCTCGAAATCATGTGATATATGGAGTTGTCAAGTAGATGGTGTCCCGGAAAAACCTCGAAATCATGTGATATATGGAGTAGTCAAATAGATGGTGTCCCGAAAAACCTCGAAATCGTGTGATATATGGAGTTGTCAAATAGATGGTGTCCCGAAAAACATTTACACCCCAGTTCTATTGTTATACTTCATAGTTTCTATTTCTGAAACAAGTGTAAATTGAATAGATCTATTGTTACGAATAACAATGGATTTTGACCTCAGGGTGTGACGAGGGGTGTTTCTGGAAACCCCTGTTTCTACATCCTGAAAACACAGTCCATTGTTATTCATTACAATAGAAATTGATTATTTTTTAAATAGCATGAAAATAAGAAATTACTAATAGGTTCACTACAAGTTGTTTCAAGATATTAAAAAACACATTTTAGGAAATTCCAATAGCGAAAAAAATATTAAGCATCTATTTTTAATAAAAAAAAATCCTTTAAGGGAACAATAATTTGATTGATAGCGTTGAAAAACTAAATAAAGTTGTTCGCGATTTGCGAGAAAAAAAAATTTCTGACACCGACAAAAAACCATAACCCCCACCCCGTTTTTGAAGTTAAAATGGTTGCTCCCTAAATACTCCTTTGTTTGAAGGTAAATTTTTTGATCCCAGTCATATGTCTCTATTCTTAAGCATTAATCTTTAAAAAAAAACAGGGATTCTAACTCCCGGACCTCCCCCCCCCCCCCCCCCCTTGGATCCCGGTCGTCGGGTTTCTAATCCAGACACACCTATTCCTCAGTGTGTCCGAATATGAATGTTTGTTTATTCTCGAGAAAGGGGGGGGGGGGGGCTTTTTTTTTTTTTATAAAACCGTTACATAAAAAATACATTTATGATTACCTTCATTAAACTGATACAGGTAAGTACTTTGGGTTATAATATTGCCTTTACTACCAAATCCAAAGCTTGACTCAAAATGTCGTCCGTCTTATACCTGTCCATATTAACAACTGCATACAAGGAGCATGATGTATTTTTTTTTGTAATAAGAATGTACGAAACGGTCAACCTTGAACTGCTGATCCATATTAGCACATGGATTTAACGGGAATATGCAAAACAGCAACTTTGACATTTGTAATATCTACTCACTTGTCAAAGTTTGAAAGAACATAGCCAAAGTAAGGTTACTAGTGGGGTTTCATGTAAAAAAAAAAATGTTTTTCTTATAAATCATGGTTCGATTTTGTTAATAAATATGCTATCCGTTCTTTTTCATTTAATAATCAATGTTAACAAATATAGGGTTAAGCATTGGGTGTAAGTTAGTTTTACACCTCGGAATACGGCGTGTCTGGATAAGAAGCGCCTCCGGACTCCGGCCGTCGGGGTTTCTTATCCAGACACACCTATCACTCGGTGTATACATGTAACTATTACAGAAATCATGTGGTATATGGAGTAATCAAATAGATGGTGTCCCGAAAAACCTCGAAATCATGTGATATATGGAGTAGTCATATAGATTGTGTCCCGAAAAACCTCGAAATCATGTGATATATGGAGTTGTCAAATAGATTGTGTCCCGAAAAACCTCAAAATCATGTGATATATGGAGTTGTCAAATAGATGGTGTCCCGAAAAACATAGAAATCATTTGATATATGGAGTTGTCAAATAGATGGTGTCCCGAAAAACATAGAACTCATTTGATATATGGAGTTGTCAAATAGATGGTGTCCCGAAAACCTCGAAATCATGTGATATATGGAGTTGTCAAATAGATTGTGTCCCGAAAAACCTCGAAATCATGTGATATATGGAGTTGTCAAATAGATTGTGTCCCGAAAAACCTCGAAATCATGTGATATATGTAGTTGTCAAATAGATAGTGTCCCGAAAAACCTCGAAATCAGTTGTTCTATTACAAAAATTCGTATGAAAACAATAATTAAATGGGAAATAGATAAGTGAAGCCAGTATAGCTGATATTGTCAACGTATAGTTGTTTTCCTTATTGAAGTTCCTCTGGGAATTTTGCTATAAACAATGCTATAATATCTGTTCTTTTTAGAAAAAAAGAGTATTATATGCCCTATATTCCGCCAGGAACAAATACTAGTACTGTAATATTTCTTTTAGTGGAAATCATATTCTAGAATATTTCTAGGGGATGTATTTATTTACCCCATTCTAGCTGCCACAGTCTCAATAGTATCATTAATGTTCGTTGTATAGTTACTTAACATGTATGGCCCGGGCTTCATTAACTTAAGGAGACACAGTCCATATGGGTCTATACTAAACTAACCCTAGGTGCATGTCATATAGCAAGGTGAAGTTCCTACCCATATCCAATATACCCTCATCTTCCAGTTACAGTCCAAATTTACCGCCCGTTATCCCAGTCGGCATATCTAGAACCAACCTATTGTGTAAATTGTAAATTTCTTCTCGTCCTGAATATGCAACAATCAATCAATCAAACAGAATATAATACAACTCTTCTTAGATTCAATAGGTGACCTTCTGAGCATCTCGTCTGTCTCGAGATAAAAAATTTCCAGACAAATATTGAATGCTTTGACTAGGCCAACGGAAATAATTGCCAAATGGGCCAGTTTTGTTTTCGTCGTTGACATAACCCAAATAGCATAGTCTAGATTTTGGAAATATCGAACCTTTGTACTGTAGGAATAACAGTACTATAGTTGAAGACTTGCCGCCGTCAATTTTGGGGTTAACGGTCGCAAATGCAGATTTACTGGCGACGCGTAGCGTAAAATGCATAAGAATATAGTTTGTTTAGTTTGTATATGAAATATCAAACATATGTATTCTACTTATTCTACTTATTCTAATTTTTGGAATATATATGAAACCTCTGTTTAATACTAAGTCTAATTTTAAGGATATCAAACCATAATTCTTTGTTCAGTGAAAAAAATTGATACACAAAATGAATTTCATGTAAAAGAAGGTGATAACTCACTAACGAGTTCTATAAACAGTTACTGTTGGATGCCTCAAGAATTTTATCCATGGAATGTTCTTCATATCAGAGTTTTTGTCTCGGCATTAGACATTAGGTTTCAATATATTGTGACTGCTTTGGATTGCCTTTTAAATATATACAATAACATTACATGAATATAACTCGTAATTTCATGGTGGGAGCATATAATTTGATTATAAGAATTCAATGTTGTCTTTTGTAATATTATAGGATTGCAAAAGCGTTGATCGTGTGCATATTTCAGTAGGAAGCGCTTCCTTGCTTCATACAAATTGGGCTTTGGTCAATTAAATATAAAACATCTCAATAAAATCACAAAAAGAAGCAGAAAGTTTTTAAATAATTACTTTATATGATTGTTTCACAACGTCACAACAATGCTTAAGGAACAAACGGAAACTCGTAATTTCATGGTGGGAGCATATGCATGTAATTATAAGATTTGAAATTTTTTTTGTAATTTCGTAGAGTTGTAAACGCATTGATCGTGCGCATATTTTCAGTACGAAGCGCTTTTGCTCTTCATACAAAATGTGCTTCGGTCAACTCTTTTACACTCCAATAAAATTCCGGAAAGAAGCATTCAATTATTAAATATTAATGAAACACAACCATGTAATCTATAGCTAAGTTTTTTTTTATAGCATTAAGTCGGCACAAAATTGAAATTTGATAATAATGATGAAAATTTATTAAGTGGCCTGTATAAAAAAGATTACTCTAAGACGCTGTACATACATCATGGTAATTCAACCAAATCAAGGAGAAAAAACACAAAAAATACAATATATCAGATGCAAATACTGAAATACAACAATAAAGCCTACCATAAAATTGTCGATACGGAAATACAACAATAAAGCCTAGCATAAAATTGTCAATACGGAAATACATATTAAAACAAATTAATAAAATATAACAATATTGTCGTCTAAAAATCACGCTAAACAGGTAAAAACTCCTAAAAAGAAATACACAATTTTGCATTAAAAGTAAATACAAAATTTATATTGTAAATTTGAAAAATGAACAAAGAAGATTTACATCTCATTCAGACCCTCTTATTTTATATCATACGATCTCTTTCAATGTTCTTACACAGTGGAAAATATGCCACTTATTCTTTAATTGTTTTAACTATTTTGTCCTCCTTTGTATTATCAATGATCTACTACGTATATTTGAACGTTTATCAAGTCATGTTATGTAATAGTTATACACCGAGGGATAGGTGTGTCTGGATAAGAAACCCCGTCGGCCGGAGGCCGGAGGGGTTTCTTATCCAGACACGCCGTATCCCGAGGTGTATAACTAACTTACACCCCATTATAAACCCTATATTTGTTAACATTGATTATTAAATGAAAAAAAAAATTATAGCATATTTATTGACAATACCAAACCATGATTTATAAGATTATTTTTTTTATTACATGAAACCCCACTATAGTAACCTTTCCTTGGTTATCTTCGTTCAAACTTTGACAAGTAAGCATATTTTACAAATGTCAAAGTTGTTTTGCATATTCCCGTTATATCCATGTAGTAATATGGATCAACAGGTCAAGGTTGACTGTTTCGTGTATTCTTATTACAAACAAAAAATACATCATGCTCCTGGTATACAGTTGTCAATATGGACGGGTATAAGACGGACGACATTTTGTGGCAAGCGTTGGATTTGGTAGAAGAGACTAAAGATAAAGGCAATATTGTAATCCAAAGTACTTACCTGTATCAGTTTA